ATTTATGTCCATGGCTCATGGACAGCCCCATGGTTTTTTTACCCAGGGTCAGTTGTCGTCGTAGATTACGAGAGTGATTTTGTTTTTCCCGTTAAACGTCTGCACGTTGCGACTGCAGCTCACAGTCGGAAAAATTGACATTTCCGCCTAAAAATACCCCTTCCGCAATAAAGCATTCCGGTATTGCTAAATGCAGAAGAATGCAGGAAAGAAGAAAACGGTAGTGACTTTGTTAAAGCATAGCGCTGTCCATTTTCTTCTTTCCTGTATTCTTTAGCATGTCGGGTGATACTCAGGAAACGGGCCATTTGGGAGTTCGGGGAATCCCTAACTTTTTTATTTTTGTCAACATTGTTAAGTTTTGGTCGCAGTGGTTTTATTTAACTCCAAATAGGATATTTGTGAATTGGTGGTAGTTCAAATGATCCAGGAAGCGGAAGAAGGAATTAACTGACAGAACCCCAAACTGAGATTTTTAGTGGCCGTTAATCTACAGTAAAACTGGCACATTTTCCGGAAAAGAAACTGTTGCCTACGTGCCATAGTTCCTGCGATATGGCGGGATGAAAATTGAGACAAGTTGACGTTTTTCTTTTTACCTCTAGGTTTTACTTGAATAAGGAGACAAATGGGATTGACCCCTTATGAATGATATAGCACTTTGATATAATTGATAGATGAGATAACTCCTTTTGTAAGAAATTGAAGAACTTGCCTCCAAACTAAATTGTTAGGGAGTAACTCGACTCATCTCCCTCTACGCAGATTTTCACGGGACATACATTTTTAAAATTTAAAAATTGCGGAAATTTAGATAGGGTCGATATAAAATATTTCACCCTTGCCATTTAATAAAGCAGTCTTCAAAGAATAAGAATAAAAACTAAAAGTTCAGATTTTTTTTGAATGAGTAGCGTAAGGACTAGTGCAACCTTAAAAGACCGCATTGTGGTTACGTTTAATCAATGATGAAACTCAAGTTCTGACTCTTATATTTTTAAGTTCGTCTAGTGTTAGCTCAAGCAGCGTGTTGTAATCCCAGTTGCATACCCAGTCATGCCCATTTTATGCCTTTGAGCGCAAGGGTCACAGATAACGACATCTTTAGTCTCAGGCACTAGAAACGTACTAGAGTTCACATTTTGACCCTTTAAACAGCTCTAGAAACCAGTTTTTGTAGTATTCAGAGGGTTTTCAGTAAATACACTGTTATTCAAGGAATGTGACGTCACATTCATGTTAATGTGAAATGTGTCACATTCGTTTGAATATTGTGTCACATTCATTCAAACGTGACTTCAGGTGAATTAATGCTCAAATGGCGCCAGGCTTGGCCGATTTACGTTTAAACGAATATGACACAACATTGAAACGAATTTGACGTCACATTCGTTGAATAACAGTGTAGTTTCAGTGCGTTTTGGTATCTAGGTGGTATACATTGTTAAAACCCTGCAAAGCAACATTTTGCAGAACTGCGAACTATTTAGATCCTTTGTAACTACAAAGCATTTACTTTGAAATGAGGCCTGAGCGGCGCTACTGCTCTCAACTCCGGCCGCTAGGGTGCAGCACGCTCCGAGTCTAGTTTGAGAAATCGCTCGCTCAAAATAAGGGTTTGGGGTAATTTTGAAATTACATCAATTCGTATTATCACTTGAAAAGGGATCTTATTTCAGTTATTGTTGGTATCAAACGTGTATGGACCATCTGATAGGCGCACCTGACCGGTTTATTTCTCACAGTGGGCTCAGAGCGTGCTGCGTCCTAGCGGCCGGAGCTGGAAGCTGCGCCACCGCTTACAGCCGCATTACAATTGCAATTCGCAATAATTTTAAAGCGATGCTTTTCAACGTGCTTTCATTGCTTCATAATTGCAATTCGCAATAATTTCAAAGCGATGCTTTTCAACGTGTTTTCATTGCTTCGCAATAATTTCAAAGCATTACTTAGTAATTGCAAAGTAAATGCTTTGCAGTTGCACAGGATCTAAATACTTCACAGTTCTGCAAAATGTTGCTTTGCAGGAATTTAGCTGTGTAAAACCAGAACCAATTCAAAGTCACGAGAGGCAATAGGGGAGAGTGGGGCACCTGGAGACAGGGGCACCTGGAGACAGTCGCGATATCTCGAAATGTTCGAATTTTCGCGCCGTCCCACCTTGACAGGGAGATGGCAAACGGTCCGTAATCCACTTTCAGAAAAGGCGGTGGTTGTCATCGAAGCGGTGGTGGAGTTATAGGCTGTCAAACTTAATGTCTCTCCAAAACAGGTAAAAGTTAAAATTTGATTTTTCCTTTAAAGCTTCACTTTGCCCAGTAAAAATTGTCCGAAAAATTAGATAAAAATATCAACAGATTCTGTGATTTGTGAGCTTTCGATTGGCTGAAAAACATTTTGAGTTGAATCACAGGGGTTATAATGCCCAGCGTCATAACCTCGATGTGTCTCGTAGGGCACGTAGAGACAATTTTTGTGGGGCACCTGGAGACACCTTAATTTATGTCCGAATGTTGTTAAAATTACGTGATTGTCAAAAACTGATGCCAAAAAATGTTTACAGAAATGGTGCGCAACTACAAACCCAAGACAGAGAGGGGAAAATTTGGAGAAGGCAATATGAAGGCAGCTATAGAGGCTGTGAAGGGAGGCCTTTCACTCAGAATTGCTGCAGAAAGGTTCAATGTAAAACATCAAACCCTGTACAAAAAGTATAAAGAAAATAAGGACTCGCCCGACATCAATTTGGAGGATTTAAAAAAAGGATTTGCAACAAGGAGACTGTTTACAGATGAACAAGAGACTAGTTTGGCAGAGTATGTTTTGATATTAGCCCAAATGGGTTTAGGACTAAGTGTGGAACAAACCTGTCAATTGGCATATGAATTTGCTGTTATCAACAAAATAGAAATGCCAAAAAATTGGAAAAATAATGAGTGTGGAGGGAGGGAGTGGTTTCGCTGTTTTCTGCGAAGACACCCAAACTTGAGCATCCGCAAACCTGAAGCCTGTAGCGTTGCCAGGGCATCAAGCTTTAATAAAACTAACACGGACAGCTTCTTTAATCGTTTGGAAGGAGTTCTGGCACGCCACCCAGGCTTTCAAGATGGTTCCAGAATTGTTAATCTTGATGAGTGCGGAACTACTACAGTTTCATGCCTTGGTAAAATTGTTGCCCCAAAGGGTCAGAAACAAGTATACCAATTAACTAGTGGGGAAAGGGGAACCCTAGTCACTACTTGTTTAATTGTTGGAGCCCTGGGACAAGTCATACCTCCTGTAATGTTGTTTCCAAGGAAGAATTTTAAGAACAACATGACAATAGGAGCGTATCCAGGCACTTTAGGCTTAGCATGTGAAAGTGGCTGGATGAATGCAGAATTGTTCCCAAAAGTTCTTCAGCATATTGTGAAACACACTGCCTGCACCAAAGAAAATCCTCTTCTGATATTATGTGATAACCTTGAAGCTCACGTCACATTAGAGGCAATTGAGTATGCGAGAGAAAATGGAATAACTATTTTAACTCTGGTTCCACACACCACTCACAGGACCCAGCCATTGGATGTTTCCATCATGGGCCCTTTCAAGAGGGCATATGAAAATGCAATGAGCATCTGGAAAAGGGCACACCCCAACCAGTGTTGCACAATTTATGACCTGGCCCAATTTGTTTGCACAGCAGTTGGGAAAGCTCTAACTCCTGCAAATATAACAGCAGGCTTCAAAAAGACAGGAATCATGCCATTCGATCGAACTGTCTTCAAAGAGTTGGACTTTATTCCCAGCCGTATAACTGACAGGCCAAATCCAGAGGCCTCTGAAGGTATGTAGTCCACTGCATTAATGAAAAAGAAATTTGGTAAAATAGTATTTATAAGTTTACTAATTATGCCTATTTTATTGCAGACATTAACTCAAATGTATTGGTTACTGAAGAAGACAACAGCAACACCCAAAGTGCTCAAGCTAGGCCTTCTGCTAATGTCAGCAATACTACCCTTAGCACTCCAGGCTCTGTTTCTACTGGTAATAGACTATGCTTATTTAATTATTATTATTTATTTAATACCCCAAGTTCATATCATTAAAAAATAATATTTTTTACAGGCACTGAAGGTGAAACTAATGACTCTACTTTGAAAACCCCGGATAGTGAAAGACCACTTAGTGCCCATTCAAATAAATCGGGAACATCCAGTGTTATTGGTTCAGAGGTGTTTCGAGGCATACCAACACCAGCGCCAAGGAAACGTACTAACAAAGAGAGACAAAAGGGTAAGAGCATGATTGCCACAGACACACCTGAGAAGAACGAAATAAAGAGAAAGGCAGAAGAAAGAGCTAAGAAAACAAATGGTAAAAAAAAAGAAGGAAAGCCAGCCTCCTCCCAAAAAATCAAGAAGAGCACTGAAATTTAAACAACAAGACTCTTGCTCTGAGGAAAGTAATCCGGATGAACCAGATGAACCACTAACAGTGTCATCTGAGGGTGAATGGGAGGGTGACATGATGGAAGAAAATAGTCCCCTGGAGACAGGAAAGTTTCCACCTCTGACCTCTGATCCCAAAGAAGAGGATTTTATTCTAGTGGAATTCAAACCAAAGTCAAAAAACCAAACTCCAGACTACTATGTAGCCAAAGTATTAAAAGAGAAAGATGAAGACAATGATCTCGAAGTTAGCTACTTGAGAAAAAGTACCAAAGTACTAGATAAATTTGTGATCCCTCCTGTGCCAGATTTGGCCAGTGTTCACATTGATGATGTTAAGTATTTGTTGCCTAAACCTACTTGCACTGGGACCAGAAGGCAGCAAAATCTCTTATCTTTTGACGTTGATTTTAGTTTAATTAGAGTGTTGTAGTTACGCACCCTATCTTTGTACCTGTGAAAGTGCTAAAACTATTAGCAAGTGATAATTGTTTTGAATTTTATGTTGACTTTAATTTAAGTTTAAGAAGATGTGACCTGTAAATGCTAAAACCTTTAGCAAGTGATGTTTTTATTTTTATTTTATGTTGAATCTACTTATGTTACAAGATGTTACCTGCAATGTAATATTACCAAAGGCAAAACTGGGCCATTTTTTTTTTAGTATTGTGAGGGAGGAATATGAGGAGGGAAACATGCTATTTTGGCAATAAACTGTAATATTTTTAGTTACCAGAGTAAAATTTGATGCCTGTCTCCAAGTGCCCCACGGCTGTCTCCAGGTGCCCCACCCCTGGGGCACCTGGAGACAAAGTGCATCCTGCACTCAACACACTACCATACCTAAACCGTTCAAAATTTTCCAACAAACAAAACTGATCCAATTACTACTAAGATAGGGCTTTCACCTCGTCTCTCAAACGCGATCCTAACTTTAAAAACCACTGACTTATGGGCGAAAATAGGCGAAATGTCTCCAGGTGCCCCACTCTCCCCTACATGAGTTCCATCATTGTTTGAACGTGACCAGAGTCTGGTCTTTTACGTTGTGAATGAGAAATACGTGCTTTGAATGAACCATCATCACCGTGCGCGTATCTTATTCGGAGCAAAATAAAACCAGTGCAACCATAAAACCTAACAAATTTGACGGAAAAAATAATAATTTAGGAACTCTCAAATGACCCGTTCGCTGAGAATTCCCTGGGTACATTTTACAACGATAACTCAAGTCCTAATATAAGATGTGTTTTGTTGTAACATTCGTTCGTGCAATGATAAGTTACGGAGCCCTTACAAAAGTGTCCCTTTTCATTTAGAGTGTGGTGCAGAAGTGAAATGTTCTACACTTACATGTTGCTAACACCTTCTGCACTTAAATTAGGATTAGCAGAGTACAGAGTTGACTCGCCAAAATTCTTGTTACCTTGCCAGTACTCGTGAAACTCTTCGTCACGGACAGAATCAATACCTTGACGGAATCAGTGGGCTGGCGTGTCAGGATCCCGATCGGTGAGTACTTCCTCAGCGACTCCCTTATTATCCTCTCGACGAGGTCCATTTCCCGGAGCGCATCGTAGGTAAGGCCGCCATGCTCTTCGGTCTTCTGTCGTATCTCAGCCACGGCGAGCTCCTGCAGCTCCCGGCTCTTGGCAAGCTCGTGCAGCGCAAAGCCCACCTTTAAATGATAACATGTCGGTTGGTTTATAACGGTTCATCACAAAATTGCTTAGAAACTGTTGGAAAAAATTCTGGCATTTTACGGAACAACCGTGAAAAGTACTGCCAAAGCCATTTGGGATTTACCAAAGGACTCTGTAGATTGCACGTGTCGAGTTTAGCTTCGAAACATATAGACGACTAAAAACTTGCTACCTTCAACAGCTTTTTTACCTTCATGAAAACTATGAACGGAGTCCCCTGGAAATTTCTAGTAGTGGTTGAAAATAAATCTTCGGGAAATCCTAAGAAATTTTTACCAGTACCAGTGTGAACACTAAAAATCTTATAAGCATTTTCATTCATAGGTTACAAGAAAAACAGAGCATGATAACAGAACTTAACTTAGTGAGCTATTAATATATGTTCATGAGATTTTGGTGTGTGGTAAGGTACCAAACTAATTTGGGTCCGTTCCATCTGCGTTATCTCACCGGTGTGTTACTATGCGTTAATTGATGTGCACACTCTCATGTATTAATTTATTTTGGTCAGTAAGTACTAGAGGTGATCGAATTTTGCCGATTTTCGATTTGAGAATTGTAACACTAACCACGTTTTTATTTTTTCTATCAGATTGATCCGATATTATAATATCTTGTGTTCGAACCACGGGTTACAAATTTAACATTGGTGTCTAGTGGGCGTTTTGATCAAAAAGTGTAAATGTAGTCTGGTTCCTTTAATTCTCGACGCACATAAAAAATAATACCAGAATCGTGATCAACGTTAAAAACTGTGACGAATGACGTATAGCATGCCAACATTCCACTATTAAGACCAAAAATAGAATTACATAAACACGGATTTTTTGAGACATCTTCATGTTTTCTCGTTGTTTTTTCTTCGCAATGCAAGGCGGGATGTTGACATACTACACATTGTAGAACTCAGTTAGACGTACATCACGATTTGCGCTCTATTTTCGATGTAAAGTGAAAAGTGGGGGAGCAAAGGATAGTTTCACAATTTTTTTATCAAAAACCCCATAACAGCAATGTTAAACTAGTGGCCCCTACTTCAAACCATAGCTCTGCGAAATCGGTGTAAATGGCCAACCGCGCCAGACCGCCTCGGCCTGCACAGACCGAAGGGCCTGAGGTGTGGGAGAGGGGGTGCACGTTGGGATGCCAACATTTGATTTTCACGCAAGTTCGAAGGTGCACATTCTCGAATATCTCCCAAGTGCACCTTCGCTTGCGTGGAAATCACACTGCTAGCAGACGCTTACGTGAAAATCACACCGGTGACGTGAAAATCACGCTAGCGCTAAAGCTGATTCAGCTGAAAGTAATGGCATGGCCCCACGTCCACTAACACTCTAAAGCCGTAAGCCCCGCGACTTTAAGACACCCCTAAATCTGGAGAACCGCTCGTCCGATTCTCACCGGACAAAGTGCGTTCGCTTCCTCTCGTCGACAATTGGGGACCCAAAAAATGCCAAAAGTGCCGAAACGTGGAAAATACCCGTTCAAAATGCGTTAAAACGGGTACTCTTCCAAACGGGTACCCGCAGCGAAAAATGGTTGAAGTAAAAGTTGTGCGCAATGTCGAGGAGAACGAAAGCCACCCTCGCCGACGTCG